GGCCACCTGCCTCGGGCCACCGCCTGCCTGGCGCTCCAGCCTCGTGCCCTACCCGCCTCGCACGATTCTACAGCGCCAACACCGGCTCCCTGCGGGGGAAGGGAAAGGAGAAGGAGAAAGCCAAGGCTCCGCACTGGATCCAGCTGTGGGGAGTAAAATAAGGCCTGAAAAAATACAATTCTAACAGCTAAATCTGTTAAAATTATTCCAGCTGAAGTAATCCGATGCTGGGAAGGTGACCTAGGCAAGAGTAACAATGAGAATGCGTCAGCAAGAAGAGAAGGGAAGGGGAAGGGGAAAGGGGAAAGGAAAGGAAACCAAGAGAAGAGAATGGCTCAGGGGATTAGTATTTCACCACTGGGTTACAGGTTCAGTTCTAGTGTTTTGTGGAAGCAACCAAAAGTTCTTACAGTTCAATCTTTGTTTAGTGGACTAAACAGGATAGTTTGGTTGTCAGAGTCCAGCAGAAAACACCACAAATCCGAACTGACTTAGATGCTGGTGATTCACTTTAACTAAAGACTCGTCCACAGAGCCTCAGATCTACTGCCTTTTTCTCCATGCTCTAGGATTAGTGCTCCATAGATGATGCTGGTTCCCGAGATCTCCTCAGTGCACAGTTTAGGAAGGCAGCTAGCTGATCCCTGGTATCGAAAGGTTGTGAAGTACTGCTCTAGGTCACCCATAACAGACCACAGCAGCTAAGAAAGAAAGAGGGAGGAAGCGTAAGCCATAATAAGTTTTCTTTGACAATATGTGCTGTGCTAAATTCTGATGTTTGTTTCAAAGCAGCAATTTATCTGCATCTGTAAGCAGCAAAAATCACCTTCCAACTGATACACAAGTCTAAAAATATATTTCTATTTTGTTTCATCTTAAAGAGGTTGTTTGCAGACCTGCAACTGAGAAGCTATTTCTGTTTCCACAGAAAGAAGCACTGTGCTGCTACCTGGCTGGATTCGGGGGTTTTGTGGAGGGTCGCTTGGTGTATGCCTTCATTGCAAGTGAAGGTGTGATTGCATCATGGGTATACACACTTGTTACAACTTTAAGCTAGCCTGCATGGGTCACAGCAGCACTGTAGACATGATAGCAGGCATTTCAGAACAGGCTATCAACCAGAGCACGTTTTGGACTCTGCTAGCCAGTGCTAAGTGCATGCCACCACATCTACACTGCCCATTGTGACTCCTGCTAGCTAGATTAGTACTCTGGGTATGCCTCCTGTGCTACGAGCACATCTTCATTTGCAGTGTATCAGAACCACAAGAAATGCTGGGAAGAAAGGGATCTCAAGAAGTCACCTAATCCACTCCCCTGTGCTGAGGCAGGACCAAGTATACTGAGACCTGCCCGGACACCTTTGTCCAATGTGTTCTTAAAAACCGCTAATGATGCAGATTTCACCATTTCCCTTGGAAGCCTATTCCAGAGCTTAAGTGCCACCTTACAGCTAGAAAGTTTTTCTTCCTATCTAACCTAACTTTCCCTTCCTGCAGAGTAAGCCTATTAGATCTCTATCCTACCTTTACTGAACATGGAGAACAATTAATCACCGTCTTTATAAAGCCCCTCAACATGAAGACTGTTACCAAGTTCCTGCCCCATCATCTTTTGTCAAGATTAAATATGCCCCTTCTCACTTTTTTTAAATCTTCTCCCACAGGTCAGGTTCACCAAACTTTTTATCATTTTTGCTGAGCTCCTCTGTGGACTTGCTCTAATTTGGCCAAATCTTCCCTAAAGTGTGGTTCCCACAAGTGGAAACAGAACTTCAGCAGCAACCTCACCAACCCTGAATTGAGTAGGACATATACCTTCCTTGTCTTATGAACAACACTCCCGTTAACACAGCCCAAAATGATATTAGCCTTTTTCACAACTGCATCAACTTGTTCACTCCCATTCAGTTTGTGATCCACTATAACCCTCACAGCCGTGTCTGCAGTACCACTTACTAGAGGCTAGCAATTCGGCCTCTGCATTTGAGGTTTTTTTTTTTTTTTTTTTAAGTGTAGGGCTTTGCACTTGTCTTAACTTAATTTCATCTTGTTTTCAGACCAATTCTCTTGAATCATCTTGTTGATTTCAGACCAATTCTCTTGAATATAATCCTGTCCTCTCAAGTGCTTCCAACCCTTCCAAGTTTAGTGTAACACATACTCTCCATCCCATTCCCCAAATTATTAATAAAAATATCGAACAGTACATGACGCAGGAGAGTCCTGTGAGACCATAACTGGATAGAGCTGCCCCATGTGACAGCAAGCCATTGACAACTACGCTTTTCTTTTAAATAATTGTACACTCATCTTTAGTAATTTCATTTACACCATCTTCCCTAGTTTACTTATGAGAATGTCACGTGTGGGACGGTGTCCCAAGTCTTACTAAAAATCAAGATTTAGCACATTTACTGTTTCCCCTGTATCCACTAGGCCAGTAACCAGGTCAAACATGCATCTGACGAAGTGGGTCTTTGCCCACGAAAGCTTATGCTCCTACACTTCAGTTAGTCTATAAGGTGCCACAGGACTCCTCGTCACTTTTGCAGATTCAGACTAACACGGCTACCCCTCTGATACAGGTCAAATAAGGAAATTAAGTGGTTTGAAATGATTTGTTCTTGAGTACAGGCAGTCCCCGAGTTACGCGGATCCGACTTATGTCGGATCCGCAGTTACGAACGGGGTTTGCTCCACATCTCCCTGGTCTGCTGGAGACCAGCAGACCAGGAAGACGGGGAGCAAAGCCTCTGAGGACGCCGGCAGCGGGACAGCCGCGGCGCGTCTGGGCTTTCCCGCTGCCCGCGTGCTCCGCGGCTTTGCTCCGCGGCTTTGCTCCGCGTCTCCCTGGTCAGCTGGTCTCCACTGGTCTGCAGACCGGAGCACGCGGACAGCGGGACAGCCCAGACGCACCGCGGCTGGCCCGCCG